CCAACTTAAAACCGCGGGCGAACAAATAATTGTATATGATGCGGGGTGCATCACGCTTTAATTTAGACGAGAATAAGTATAAGTAATATAATAGTCGTGTCGTCTACCTTTAGGTATCTATAAGAACGAATCTATTCGAATTCAATTTTATACGCGTAGTAGGTACCTATATGTACTACATATACAGAAAATGTTTATAGCAGGATTGCACTTGATGGATAACTGCAGCGGCGTGGCTGAGCAGACTCCAATCGCGGCTCGTCTGTGTAAGCTTACAACCGACTCTCAACCTGTCCGTTATGTGACCCGCCGCCGTCCCGCTCCCTTAATAGGAATCACATTACTTTTCTAGTTCCCCGACGATAAAATAATAATATTAAATTGTATTATATTATTATGTCCACCGATAAATTTGTAACGATGTGCTATGCGGTTCGATGCTGGTTGCTGCTCACCACTTCCGCGCCTCACCGTATATACAACTGCAGCCGTCTATTTACCATTCTTGCGCACCAGACCATCGAGTCTTACGTAGTTGTGCGCTCACATATACTCTCAGAATTGTCGAAATAAAACTATATTATAAATTATAATATATCATGAGAGATCCAGCGTTGTCCATCACTGCGCTTCTAAACAGACTGAAATGCTGCAGAGCTCTCACGAGACGCTGCACTTAACGATAATAATAATAATTACCATATTACGACGTGTCTAACAATAAAACAAATTCGTGTGGGTAATGTTCCAGAAGCGAAAAGCTCTTGAGTCTCTTAATGTGGCAATTCGGAAGCAAAAAAAAACAAATTTAATATAAGCTCCTCTACGCACACATCCTCTCCTGGAAGTGTATTTTGGATGTACCGGCGCGGCGGCGGAGGACTCAATACTATACGTATAATATAATGTACTTGTTTTTTTGGCCGACGGCCAGCGGTTGACATGTATTATTTAAAAATAGGAATAATGTCCACTTGGTTATAACCATATATTATATACTTACCTTTTGCAGCCGACTATATTATGTACCCGACGGCCGCGGCACATCATATATTATGTATAATATGGCCGAATACTACTCTTCGACGACGGACGCGTGTGTTTAATTATCCGTGTAATTTTATCGATGTGTTGTGTAAATGCATCGACCGCGATTTAAAGTTTTTATTTTACCGAAGAAACTATGTTTTTAATGGTTTCATATACCTGTTATAATTTTATACGTATAAATAGYATATTTTGCCGATATGACGACATATTTTGTATTTACAAGTCATTTGCAATGCGCATACGATTAATAATCCCGTTTCGATACTATGTACAATTTTTAATGTTTACGTATTAATTAAATATCATTAATTTACTATGCTGATGTATGCACTTCAATCGTTTTCAATGTCGTCGTGTCTACTTCAGGTATAGCATGCTCTTATATGTTATTTTTTATTTTTCAAATTTTAAATCTTTTAAATTTATATATTCGTAAACTAGATATAGGTCATTCATGTATATTATTATGATGCGTAAAAGATCAAAACCTTGAAATATTCTACCTCATGCAAGAATTAACCGGATTCCCTAAGTATACAAAGGCTATATTATATACAATGACCATTTAGCATTCAACCTGTTCTGAACTGTTAATTTTCTATTTATTTTCAAAGTAAATTAAGTAAATTTTTTCAACATTATGTTAGTCATATTTTGTTTAGTATACGAAAAATTTTTTTCAAAAATTAGACACATATTACAATAAATTATCACCCCCTCCCGTTTTGAGAAAATAATTTTCCGTGCGCTATACCGATTATTGGTTTAAAGAGTTCAGCCACTAATATTATAATATTATAGTTATTAGGTATAGTTATTATTCAGCGATACTGCAATTATTATTCATGCTATAATTATATTAGGTATAAATAGTAACTATAGGTATAATATGGTCGAGACGTCGCCCTGTATTTAATCCATTATTATCTACTTCTTCTGGACACGTTTAATAAATACTGGTTTGAAAATGTTTTCTGGTCTATTTACAATTTATGTTATCGTTTCTATCGTTTTAACAGATCTATGACCTGAATTTTACTGTAATAATTTTAGCTGTGTCCGCAATTTGTTCGAGTGAGATTCTTATTTCTAGGTGTGAATATACTCCTTTAATAGGTGTTTTTTAATAAATGTGTGTGGATCAGTTGCTTTTTTTATATAATAGGTATAGTGTTTTAAAATGTCTTAACATATTATACATTATGTGTCCATAATACATGGTTCAACTGTCGAACGTCGTTAATTATGTATTATATTATTGCTAAAAATAAAACTTACACCTTCAACCCTTCAACAGCATACAAATATATATTTTCGATTATTATATGAAATCTATAAAATGATGGAGATATCAAATAATTGGATACATACTATATTATTGTAATTTGAGTGGACCTATCTATAATATTCGGTCTGACACACATGATAAAATATTATGTTGTTGTTTTCATTGAGTAATCTAAAATTTGTATGTACAACTCCTCTTTATATTGATAGGAAACTTAATACGTATATTATACTGTGTAGACAGTCGTGTGATGAAGGGGTCATTTTTCATTTTTCTCAGAAAAAAATTACTGTGAAGAAAATGTAAGACTACTGACTAGGAATTAAGCTCTGACCTATAATAAAATATTTTCTGATTCAATTCAGAATAATTTTAGAGTATTATAATCTTGTTTTTGAATTTTAATATTGTTTTTTGTACATATGTATGCACCATTATTCAAGTTTGATGTATTTTATTTGTATTCTTGCTTACGTTTTAATAATTGATTAAATATGACTTTAAATGATAATTAATATTATATATAATGTTATGTTAATATAATAATTTAAAAATAATTATTCATTGGTATTTATTTTTTATGAAATTCTTGTCAAACGCTTTAATCTATAATATTATAAATAATTTAATTATATTGATCGTTATTATTTTCGATTTTAATATTCAGATAAACAACTGTCATTATTCGTGTTAGTGTTACCTACGTTATATATGATTATTCAATTTATATCCGTTTTTTAATTTATCGATACTAAATTAACAATAAATTATTTTAACACTTCATTAAGATTATATCTCTGATTCAAAACTCATTTCCTTATCAGCCATTACATAAATTTATTTAAATTTAGATACAGTTTATATATAGATTATTCCGTATAATAATAAAATGTATATCTAATGGTAATTTTATTTTTCCCTTTTAWTTTGTTTTGACTTTATTGCCAACTATAAATTAATGCTGTAAAAATAATAGCTTTCGAGATGTCTTTTAACTAAATAAAATATGTTTTAACACATTATTATACGATATTTTCAAAATATATTGAAATTATAATCCCCGTGATTATGTATTACGTTTTAAATATTAGATTAATCTTTACTGTCAATTATTATATATTGGGTAGATACCTATATAAAATTTAAAACTTCTGGAAAACTTTTGAGTTATAAACTAAAAACTTATTAATCATAAGTTATTATTTAAATTTTTTAATTTTAAATTTATTAAAATTAGGAATTCCTTGTTTATTGCTTGTCTATCTATATGAACGATAATTGTTTTACTAACTGCAATAAAATAATATAATTATTATTAATAATTATGACGATGAAGTATAGTACTRKTGTAGTAATTAAGTAATTATAAGATTAAACCAAAAGTTATAGTGGTGTTTAAAAAAAATAAAATACCTAATTAGGACGTCCGTGTCTTAGGTGGCATTTTAATATGGGTATTATGTAAACGATAGTGCATTGAACCTGTTGACTTGTTAGTCGATTTAAAAAAATTTTCAGTCAGATTTTAAGTTCTTTACGTTTTGGAATTTTGTGGTCCTTATTTGTATCTTTAAATAGTTAAAATTTGCTATTTATTTGAAAATGTTTATGTACATAGGTCCCAAATAAGACAAGTATAATATGTGTAAGTAGTAGGTGCTGTAGAAGTACATCATGATTGGATCTTGCCTTTATTTTTTTCCTCGATTGCGCTCCATAAAATATAGGTGTTGTGTTTTTCCTAATTTTCCGTCCCAATTTTACAGGCTATAAGGATTGAAAATTAAATTGTTGGCTTGATTAATCTGTTTCTTACATAGATATATTAGAACAAATAATACACTATATAACAAATATATTGGATATATAATATAATATAATATATAGTTTTGCAAACTATGCATGGAAAAAAACTACAAATAACTTTTTTAAATTATAATACATATTTTTCCAAATCAATATCAAATAACTCAATAAAATTACGAAAACTGAAATTCAATTTTATGGCATGAAACTGTGGTTCCATTACTTAAAATATATTTTAGATAGTAGGTACCTATAGATATTTAATTTTGTTGAAGTTTGCATTATAAATTTTAATTTGTCTTCTTGTTCATTTCAAAATCTGATTATATGATTATTTTCAATTGGTAACCTTAATTCTTTTTTTCTAAATAAATAAAACTTGTTTAATATAATAGGGAACAATATTGCTATAGGATTTGGTAATGTTGTCAAGCCTGTTAAGGTTTAGATACTAAGTATACAGCCACTAAATTAATCTTTTATCCAATAGCCAATGCTACACCAAGATATTTAACATTCAGTTTCAGTTCTCAAGGAAAGTGCTTGTAGAAAATGAGCGCGGGTGCAGGAACACGGCCCCGTAATCCGTTGTAGATTCATTAATTGTTTTATCAACGCCTATAATATGGCATCAAAAAACGTTATTATTCTAAGCAATAAAACTTTTCGAATTATTGTGTACCCGATAATATGACGTATTATTGCTTTTAACAGTATGTGTTGTACAAGCAATATTATGTATATTTTAAAAGTTAACACTTGTAAAGTCATAGTTCTTCAGATAATCGTAATGAATGTGGATCGACCATCGTTATTAGTGTAACTCAAAATAAATATCATAATTAATCTGTTACAGATCACAGCCAAACGGTAACGAAACCCGATGGCAAAACCACATCGTCACAAGTTGGTAAAGCTGCAGCCCCTGCAGCAGTGACGTCAAAAGTCAAAGAAGTTAARAGAGATAATGTGGACCGAGAAACACTGCAAATCGTTGAGACACAGCTGGACCATGTCACCAAGGGGTTTGAAGCGGTATCAGTACTCTTCCAGTACCTCGTCAACGACGTGAGTACAACACGTAAACGATTTTGTTACGATCGAGCACGTCCTTGATGATACCTGTATACACATAATAATATAATCGCTATAGACCACACACACACACATATATATATATAAATATTATATATATATATATATTCGATAGTAGTTATAGGTATGTAGTTATACAGTGTGATTCTTTCAACAGAAAATTATTTTTTCTTTCGAAAAGTATAGATTTTGTTTGTGAAATTTTCTTCTAAAAACATTTCCTAAACATTTTATTGCCTTAATTTTATCTCACTATGCTTAAGTTTGTCAGCGAAATCGCCATCACTGTGGACTTTTGATTTTCAAGTGGTAACCACTATATCGCTTATAATATGTACTTATGTATTTTTAATTCTGTGATCTGCAGCAGGCATACTTTTGTAAGCATATCGTCATGTAAATAAATATTGACCGAAATTTATTTTTATTTTTAAGCATTTATATTTTGATAAGCTAYGTGTGTGGTATACTTAGCAAAATGTGTGATCAAAMTATTAAAACGCTTATATTAACGTATAAAAAAAACAATTTTGAATGTATTAAATAAAATATTATGTTAGCAAGTCTAGAAAAGTATTTTGGTTCGAATTACAAAATTTAATGCATAAAGAGTTATTTGGATACATTTAAGGTAACGCTTAACAATCAAAATTCGTTTGTAGGTTCACCAACTAACGATACTGTACGGTGAAAAATTATCAATGACAATTTAAAATGTTAGAGTTGTGTTTATATTGTACTTATGTATATATTATATCTTAGARTTCTGATAAAGTTAGTTGCAGTTAATAATAATAATACTAATAATACTTTTCGAAGTAATGAGTAATCGTTGTTTAAAGAATCGCTCTGTATGTATTTACCTACCTATATGGTAATAATGTGGTATAAGTATATTATATATATTTTAATAGTAGGTATAGGTATAGTAGGTATAACCTACCTAACCTTTATAGTATAGTTGTTTTTGTTTTTGTTGTTGTTGAGTTATATGCCACCCCGCCCATTCACTCTTCTACCCGACCACCTCCCACCCCTAACCACAACTTGTTACTCTTGTCCTGACTTCGAAGTACAATGATAATAAGGAAAACGATTCTTTGCTATAACAACTGGATCCCAATGTATAATAAAATATCATAAATTCTTCGGTGAAGATAAGTCGTTTTCTCGTTATTCTTCTTCTTTTGTATAATTTTACAAAAAAAATTCTTGAAAACCTGTCGTGGTATATTATATTTAGCTTTGCGGTCGAGATAAATATAACGGGGCGAGTTATGTTTACCTTTCCTCGCGAAGTGTCGTTGTACCTATATAGTGCTTTATTATTTCTATCTTAGTCGTAAACGGTTTTAATACAATGAAAACCATATCCGCTGTTCTTGTGATAGTCCAATTATTAATTAAAGAACATTTAAAATTTAATCAACATTTTTAAAAAACTAGAAATAATACATACAAGGTATTATGTTGCATAGATTTGAATATTTTATTTTATGTATTCGAATTGTTATACCTAACAAAAGAGTAACCAAATTTACAAATTCTTCAACATAAAATAACTAGAAATAGATTTATAGATATATGAGTGACTGAAAAAGCTAAAAAAAACGTTTTAAGATACATAATATATAATAATAATATATAATACATAATAATAATTATATGGAAGGAAAGGAATTTTAAAATTAGGTATTTTATATTTTTGTTCTATATTTTCAAATATATTGACTTATTACATAATTTATTTTTTTACTGTATTAGTAGGTACTGTCCATTTCACTGGTCATACTATTATTTTATTGAGTTTTACTACTGCTCATTTTCGATAAAATATATCACCATATTGCATGCTTTGGACCTAACCTCTTACATCGACTACATAATATACTCGATCATTTTTTGTTTGTTTTATAGTCACAACAATATTTTGAAGTTTCCCATTTTACAACGTTCGTCGATCGATGTTTTTTTATACACATAAATTATAGCATGTAGAAACATGTATACCGTGTCTTAAACTATATTATTCCATATCATACTAGTTGTGATTCAATTTTTTCAGATATATTAAGTTTTTTGTGTTTCCTGAAACGTTTTAAAACTTGGACATGTGCCCTTTCTGCATTTAGCGATTCATATATTTGTATATAATATATATATATATATATTTTTGTACCGTAATTAATTTGATTCCTATTATAAACGTTCCCTGTTATTGATGAGTTTGACAGTATAATAATATATAACCATCGTTTCTTAAAATATACATAATATAGTCACTAGAAAGGCTGAGTGGTCCCTTTACAATTAAACTATACTGCGGACTATTAGCTTAAACAAATCGGTTGCATCATTGCAGTCATTGGTAAAAGTGTATGTTGTATACAATCAAATATTAATTTTAAAACTACAGTTATTATTAAAATAATATTATCCAAAAATTCTATTATAATTTGTTAGGGTGATTAACCGTTCAATTGAATATTTTTATAATCTGACAAAGATGTTTCTTTAGTATTCTAATAAATTAATTACTGTTCGTTAAACAGTTTTTTTTTACAAGATCATTCAATGGTGATTTTGGAAATCAAAAGTATTAATATTATTATTGTTGTAACGTTGCTTTCAATAGTTTTCGCTGTAATCATAATATATATATTACGAGRAGATAGAAAACGTCGCCTTCAAGTTTTGTACTATTTGGTACACCGTTATATAGCTGTTAAAGCGTCCGTGTTAAATTATTAATGGAACGAATTCGTTGAGGAAACATTTTATGCGGTGTGTGTATATATATATATTATATATAATATGTACATCCGTAAATTTGAGTTATACAAAATAATATGCCCTAACAACTTTTGTTATTATTATTWTTTTTTTCAACATCGCTCGATTGTTTWTTTTCAGTCTTATTATTTTTGGATATGCCGTGCATATATTAGGGGGAGTGAGAAAAAAAATAATTATTAATCTCGTGTATATTCCGGTTACGACGATGGCAGCCCGACTTCCGGGAACTATTTTAAATGTTCATACCGTAAACAACAATAATAATTTTATAATATTATAACCTGAGAAGCACATCACTATGACGGATGTGTCAGTAACACTGGAAGAGAGGGAGTGGGATTCTAGTGGCTTTTTTGAGCTTGTCTCACTGTGCAGTCAATAGGATCGTTCGTTGAGCACGGTACGCGACAATGATGATGGTGGTTTACTATCATCAATATACCGTATTCGTGGTTTCTAATTATATAATCGAACAGCTGTAGCTGTGCCGTCTAACGCCGAGTGGACCTGTACGGCGGTATTTATGTAATATACCTATATACACGCATTAAACGCGTATTAATGTCAATCGGTACAACTTCGAACGAAGTTTAATATTCTCGAACCATCCGATGATAGTCGTTCCGTTTTGATTCGCGGCATTTTATATACTACGCGTACCTACCTTATACCTACTTGCTGCTATTACGACCACGGAGCTTAACGCGAATATTATGTTAAGTTTGTTTGCGTACAGTATTAACATGGTAATTGATTTCGTTAATTTGATTAGTCACGCGTGTGTTTTATATATAATTTATCGTGATATCATAAATACGTCAATACAACGTTATTTCGCATTATTTTTTCCAGATGGACGCTCTGTCCACCACAAGGCTGAAACAACAATTGGACGCAAATCGCAACGAATTAGTATCCACTAAATGTTCATTGGGTTTGTAATTATTTTTCTATGTATCATCCATAACGATGTAAATTTTTGAGTTACGTTACACATAGTTAATAAATTATTATGCATGTTTGACAGACACAAGTTTCCCTATCAACCAATAAAATAGTAAATAGAAATGTATAGCGTAATATACAATACATACTTATAGATAATATTACATCGTTTGTGGTGTTGGCATCCAAAACGTTATAATTCAACGAATTTCAATAATAATATTGTTACAGATGAATCTCGGGAGAAATGTAATCAGTATCAAGAAGAAATTAATAAACTCCAAAAAGAAATCGAAGACTACAAGAAAAATTTAGAAGTTAAAGAAAAACTCGTTGATGAAAGTAAGAACGGTTGCACCCACTTTATTACTAAGTATTTTTACTGTAAAATACGATCTCATATAATGTTATATGTGCAGTTAATTTAAGTAATGTCATGGTTTATAGTTACTTCTCTAAAAGAAACAGAAATCTATGGATTAGAAAAGAAGCTCGAAGTACAGGCTAATAATTTGAGATTGCAATTCGATGAAGAACTCAACAGACACAAGAATGAATCAGATGAGGATAAAATGAAACTGATAATTTCGCATGACCAGCAAATCGTCGAGCTGCAGCAGACCAACAAACTCGAACTGTCCCAGGTGCAAAAATCGGCGACGGAAAAACAGATCGAGCTCACCCAAAGGGTGTTGGTGTTGGAGAACGAACGTGATCTGTTAAAGTCTGAGAGGGACGCACTGAAAGAAGAGAACCAGCGGTTGATCGAGGACAAAAAGCTACAGGTATTTGTTTTGTTCAAAATTGATTTTTGTTGAGTATAAATTAATTTCTATACTTTTATCCTATATTTATATAGAACACAAGTCAGGGTTACCAAAAACTATTAGACGAAGTAGAATCGTTAAGGACTGTACTAGAATTGAAGAGTTCTGAAATGCAAGATCTCCGCAAGCAAAACGAAAAATTGCAGAGAGAAGGCGACGATTTACCAGCGATCTTACAAAAATTAGAAGCGGCCCAGTCTCGAGTTGAAGATTTAAACGTACAGCTACAGAGAAAGTCAGAAATCGAAATGTACGTATGTTATGTGAGGCATATTATTATAGTTTTAAAGTCGTACAAAATTTATTACATATAGTAATTGTTATGACTTATCTCATCGTAAAGAAAAAGTTATATATGTACAAAAACTGTTGATGGGCGTTGGCTTATAAAAATAATAACCTGCAGGGTTTGAGATTTTTAGTGCTAAAACCATTATATTACACCCTAATTAATGTGTGTAAAGAGTAAAAATTTAAACAGTAAAATATTAAATTATAGATATGTTATTTCATAACAATAACAATGAAAAAAATACTWATAATATGTCATAATTTATAAATTATAATATAAAGCTTATCGTTTATGTGAAAAAAGTATTTTTATTTATCAAATTTCAATTAAAAAGAAAATAACTAAACCGTTTTTAATTTCGTTGCTTAAAACAAATATAATATAAATAACAAAGCTTGTGAAAATTAGACGAATTCAAAGTCGTGCATTATATTGAGTAGATTAAAATTTACTTTGTTCATTGCATGTATATATTCATTTAATCTTAACATGAGAAAAAAAAAACATAAATATAAATAAATCATGCTAAGTGTTGCCAGTGGGTGGCTTCTTACTCAATTTTTCATGCCATGTATTCTCTTAACACATAAGCTTATTGTACTTTTTTTTGTATAGATTGTTTATTTCTAATAAATATTTAAAAAAAAAAAAATAAAAATATTGAGTAGATATATAATTTTTAAAATCCAAGTCCAATGCACTCTGTAAGAAGTATTCATCTTTCCAATAAAAAAATAGGTCACACGCATGCCTCTTAAGGTTCTTGCAAACTTGTAATTTTTAAGGAGTTATGCTTAGGCAATTAATTTGTTCCTCGCGATTACGGTTTGTCTTTTTTGTGTGTATAGTAAATAATCATTAGTGTGTGTATACTCTCCACCAATCAACCGCATCATACATTACGCATGCGCAAACAAATTTAACTATGTCATAAAATCAAAATAATATTCAAAACCAATTTATAGACGTAATTTACGCCTGACAACAATTTATAAGTACTTTCAAAGGTTCGATTTAAATAAAACGAAAGGTGTTTGATTGCATAAACATGATTACTTTGCTTCATTCAGAACACTTTTTAAATTTTAGCGAATTCTTGATGGTAATAAACATTTTAAATTTTATCATTTTTTTTAATTTTATACGATTTCTGTTCAACACTGTTTTTGATTAAAAACAATAATAACAAAAATACAATACACGCATATTATACATTGTTTGGGAATATTGTAATGATATGAAATGCTATTGAGTTAATTATTTTATATTAAATACCTGCATTAAAAACAATTAAAAATATTGAATTTATGCTACGAAAAGTTATATGCACTRACCCCGTATACGCAAAATATAATCTCTTATTATATTGTACGCTCTAAACTCTGAAACCTATCACTCTGCTGTGGTTTTTGTATATAGATATACGAATCCTGATTTAGGAAGAAACTGTATTAAGCTTTTAAATAATCATAGGCTTATAATATAGTGTTTGCTAGTAGGCTTCATGTATTATAATATATTATATGAACACTTACTGTGGTGTTATTTTCTTAATGAAGAATCGCGTAAATCGATGCTTTTGTAATATCAAAAATGTAATTTTAATAATCGTTGCTGTTTACGTCTTATACAGGCAACTCAGTCAAGAAAAAGATCAAATGGCTCGGGAAATAGACTTGGAGAAACAAAAGAAGAAACGGCTTTCATGTCACAACGAAGAACTGCAGTGGAAACTGAAAAAGAGCACCGAAGTGGCTAACCATTTAGCTGTGTCAACAAAGAGATTGAGTAAGTAATCTGAACTTATCTAAACAATGGTCTGTTTGATTTGAGGTTTTTATAAATAAAAATGTTTTATTTCGCAGGCCAAACGCCTCAAGACCTTGCGGCTATGAGGGAGGCACAAAACAACTACCAGAAACTCTGCAGCAGGGAGAGCTCAAATTCGGAAAACAGGTATTATTATAATGTTATTATAATTTATATGTATGTTTATTATTTGTTCGATGCTTAATGAGCGGTCCTAAGTCCTAGTTTGGCGTGTTTTTAGGGGCGATATCTAAACATMTTTGTAAAGTAATTTTTCTGTAGTGGAAGTTATCCGCGATCGATATTATATTTTCACTCTATCAAATGTTTTCGCAGCGATACCAATTGTACCTACTGTCCTATCTGTAGGAAGTATACTTGTATTTCGAAGACTTTGCATTAACGAGTCTAACAGTTTGGGCGATTTAAATTAGTTTAATTAGTTTAACGTACTATCATTTTAGTTTTTTTATTAACTTAATTTATTTGCCCTTGTGTTATGTCTTAAAGTAACGCGATACATTTCTCAACTGTTCCAATTTTTCATTAGCAAAGATATATCTACATTTTTTATGTTTGTTATCTGAGCGTGAATACTGTTTTATTTTTTAATATCATTGCTTATATGTACTATACTGGTATTAACTGCAGGGCCATATTTAGGAATTTGATACCAAAGAGCAAAAAAAAAAATATACCTCAATCATCATTATACAAAATACAAATTTAAATAATAAAAAAATTAGCCGCCTGGGGCAACAATACCCTAGCTGTAGCGGCTGTAGCTCTCCCCTAAATACGGCACTAGGTATTAAGTGRATTATTTTTTAGTGAAAACTTATCAATGAAAGATGTTAAAATTTCTATTAACTTCAATAAAAATGCTAACTTGCACTGCAGCCTTGTGAATATCGCTCAACATAATATTATATTTCTGAATTTTTCCGATTTACACTACATATTTTAATACCTACGTGCCCGGTGGTAGTCATGTTMAAACCCTCTCCCTCCCTTATAACCTAAGAAGTTTCTAAATGTATTGTATTATATGTAATTAATAACTATTATGATAATCTCATGTACCTATTAATTTCCTGTCTATTACACTAACTATACGTAGGTATATTGTAAAAATCGTGTATTTTTCATGTATTCGAGTACAAAAATATTTATCCAACTTAGCTTTGCCTGCAGCTCTCCCCTCCCTCCAACCTAGTCATCAATTTTACCACGATAAAAATGTCAACGTGTATCATATTATTATGACTAATGATATGCTGTCGGCCGTGTGTTATTCAGCGGTGACGAGGACACGATGATCAGCCAACTGGTGGAGGTAGACTCGGAGGCACCGGCCCGAATACTGGGCGTGATGAAGAAGAACGATTCGTTGTCTTACGTGTTCGAGGTGGAAGAGGAACCATCGGAGATCGCCACCCGGCTGGTGCGCCGGGCCAGCAGCCTGCGGTCGGTGGGCAAGTCGCGGACGCGCGCCCGCGGACCGGCTGGCGGTGAGAAGCGGTCCCGGGCCAGCTCGCAGTCGGGTGGCGGATCGTCCGACAAGTCGGTAGAACTGGACTCGGCTCTCACCCGGAACCTGGACGAGCTGTTCGCACCTGGCCCGACCGACCGGTACATGAGTGACTGTTTCACGTGCAGCTCGGATTCGTCCAACTCGTCGCCGGAACACCAMCACCACGTGGTGCAGGCCTACGAACAGAACCACCACGGTCCGTCCTATGTACAGGTGGTCGCCGAGCAGTCTGGTGGCGGCGGCGGTGATAACGCACCCCAGGGTGGTGGGCTGGCCATCGTCTGAAAACATTTTAGTCGTCGTACGCAATGGGTGACGGGGGCATGGAAGGAAAGTCCAAAGCGATATAGATCCTTAAATATCATGTTCGCGCACAATACACATTCTCTGTTAGAATAATTTTTCTCTCGTTAGATTGTGCCAAAAACCATACTGATGTTCTTATTATATCCACAATTCATATTTATATTATAATATTATTATGTGTGTTTAATATAAAAATCAAAATACTTTTTAATTTTTATCGCTAACGTCGTTTTGAATTTTTATTACGATTTTATTTTGTTTTATAAAAGCGCGAGCGTGTGTGTATTTTTTTTTCTCTAGTAACTCTTAAGACTGAATTCTTTAAAAAAAAAATTGACCGAGTCTTGAGGAGAATTTTTTTTTGTTTTGAAAATGTGTCAAGAGAATTTAATAATTATTAATTTTTAATTGTATCGCTTACACAGTGTAACTATGTTTTTATTTTAAGATTTAAATGTTTATAATGAAGTCTAACAAAACCGTTTATTTCTTTTTACTATTTTCTGCGAGATTAAGGTGTAACACATACATTTTTTTTTTAAATTCCCTGTGACAATTATACCATATAACTTAAATCTTGTGACTTATGCGTCTAACTGCGCTGCGTCATTGTTAGTTCTTACTGTTGTAATTTATTTATATTTTTTAAACAATACTGCACAAACGAATCGTGTAAGTTAACTGATCACCTAGCGTTTCATTTGTATTATTTAACATTACTTGTCTGACCAAAATATATGTAATCTGATGCTTGTGTGTCAAACATAATACATTAGTCATGTAAAATGTAAATAATTTAATGTTTCATTCTTTTTTCCCTGACGTTCGAAAACATTTTTTCGAAAAATATGTATGCATTTATCTACACTGTCTATAGATTAAACTATATTTTATATTTTTCTCAAAATACCTTGTACTGTCCTTTTCCTATCTTGTGTACTGTTGAACTCTTTTACCTTTTCTCTTGTACTTAAAATGTTATTTTTATAATTTCAGTTGTAATGTTCATTTACAAACATTGTAGATACCTGTACAATTTGTCCAAAGAGCTTTGACATATTTTTTTTTGTCATTTTGGAGTGTGTATGATTTTTTTTTATTAGTTTTTAGTTTATTTTGTGATATGTTTATAAGTATATTTTATGTATAATTTATATATTATATATTGTGTAATGTATATAAAATGTTTTGTTTGATTATTATTATTATTATTATTTTGTTTGTTTGTTTGTTTGTTTGATTGATTTCTAAAGATTTTGTTACAAAATGTTTATGACGATAAACCGGGTATGTATTTTAAATTTATCCTATTGAATGTTTATTAATATATTATTATACAAAATGAGAAATCTATTGTAAGCCGACTACATATTTTATTTTTTTTCTGTAAAACAGGTAGTTTGTACACGTCAGTAGGTTTAGCCGTGTCCTTTATAAACACAATGTTTATATCATGTGTATACACATATAAACGTTACATTATATGTATTGTAAGTGGTATCATTTGTGGCTTTGAATGATCTCAAGTATCATAAACATAATGATGTTAACAAATTGAGTAATGTATGTCCAGTAAAAATAAAAATAATATAATTATTATTAATATTAATTGATTTAGTGAAAACCATAAATATTTTATTTTGTTGCTGTTTAAAAGCTATTTTAAATGTGTTTATCGTCAGGTTTTGTGTGTAATAATAAATACGTGTTGGATCCCTAATGGCACGAGAAATATTTTATCTAATTTTTTTTTTCACTTTAATATAGTTAAAAAAAATAGTTTGTTATGAAAAAAATATTTTAAATTTTACAATAACTCATTTGTGAACCATTATGATAATGGGCTGAAGACTCTTATGATATTACATTTATTTACAATTTATAAGTAGATGCATTATGTTAATTCTTGAAAGTATTCTAATATTCATATATTATTACATATACCTTTACTAGAAAGTGGTGGCCATACATTTTAGAAGTATGATAGTAATACAGCTGTTTAAAAAAAAAAAAGCAAACAATAAACATAATACTACCTAGCTATTGTCTAAATGATAGATATATTATGGTACTTCTATATATCTTTGGTACAAATGTACCAAAAATGAGCCCTTCATGGGTTAGTTATTTAGATATGCTTAGCAGCACCAGCTGTAAATAAACACTCATAATTTGTGCCATCAATAGTTCGTATTGGTTTATAATTTTATAAATAATATTTTATTTGTGATTAGGTATTAAAAGGATGATTTGGTGGGCAAAGTTGCTCAATGTGTAATCCATGATTCATTATCATAATACTTTTACTGAACAAATAGAGAGCTTCAGCACCGCCATTTCGGTATTTCACTAGGTATATAAAAATATGAAAAAATAGTTTTTTTTTTTWAAATCTAACGCTCTTTACTCCCTTCTTTTGATATTCTGTAAACTCYGCAGCGGCGTGTATGTGTTATGATCATTAGGCTAAATTATACATTTTCATTCCATATAATATCCAACGACCTAATTATTTCAATTATTCGATTTTTATAATAAAAACAGTTTTGAATGGCTCAAAATGCTTACCTACTCTGAATTCTACTTACACTTTATSTACCTGTATTTACCTAATCAACTAAATGTTTATAAAAGTATTTTGCACATTTGAATATTTTAAAGGTCAAAAATGCTGACAAAAAAATACTAATTTACCTCAATGTGTAATATCCATTTAAAATCTAGATAAATAGTTCAAAGTTAACCATCAATGTAATTTAATCAGAAATTTGATTTATTTAACAGCAGAAATTAATTATGACAATGTTTTATTTTTTTCGTTTCCGGCAGCCTCAAAATCGCGTAGCTACGAAAGTATCGACGTTGATCGACACAATAATCATTATAAACAATATACGATTTTCGAATAAAATTCAGTATTTCACTGACAGTCAGACGGAAACGTTCAAAATGGATTTCAATCTGACGTTTAACTGTGCCTATAAAGTGGTCATGCTAATTTTGTTTGTACAGGGCACCCGACGAAGAGATGACCAAACATCAACCAAATAATATATCTATATCGTTCAATAATAACTGCGAACTATACCTACTTTAAATTTCTAATATCAAATGTTTAATCAATGCTTGCTCTTTACTGAACGCCTTGCACTTACTTTTTGTAGGTTTAACTTGATTCACCAGTATTCGTGTGGAGTACTGTCAACACACCAGACTTATGCGCTATTAGTCAGGTCGTATTGTTTGTTTAGTACCTATCACTTGACCACATCTGTTTTGGTTTAGGACTTTAACTAGTACCTGTGTATATATATATTAAAATATGTGCAGGTCGACCAAAAAAGACATGAACGAACGTTATACAAACACCATGTAATGAAGATATATAATATAAAATATGATGATTGATGAGCAACACGACTTAAATTTTTAAATTTCAAATATTTTTTTAATTGATGTTTGCTTTTTACTAGACGTCATGCATCACACATTTTCTGTAGATTCATCGACTAATGCACGTTGGTCTTCATGTCAACGAACCATAATAAGACTATATATTTTGTCAGGTCGTATATGCAGTTTATTAATTAGTACCGCCTGATAGGAGTTTGCTGACTATAGGATTTTCGATTTTGTATATATATATATATTATCTTATAATAATATTATGTACAGGACAAACAATATATATGACATGGAAAAACGCTATGCAAGTACAATATGATGGATGATGTATGATAACATTGAAGAACAGCGCCACTTGCAGGAGCTTTTAATGTTAAATATTTGGTGTTGATTTTTATCTTAACTTCAGGACGCCACGTGCATAATTTTTTATAAGTTCAGAAGTATTACAAGTAGGCCTCCATGTCTCAACGCAGCATAATATCATACTTGTACACTATACTTGTCTGGAAGTCATCAGCTAGGTCGTATAGTTTATTTAGTACCGCCCGATAGAAGTTTGCTGGCTAGGACTTCCAATAAATTTCTTGTTCATACATAGGTATATCTTTTAATATGTACAGGACGACAAATAAAGACTTGGCAAAACGTCATAAAAATAGAACGGAGATTAATGAAGAACGCGACATACATTTTCAATTTCAATTCTAGTTTGGTCGATGTCTACTATTTATTACTGCAGAACGCCTTGCATAATTTTTTTGAATAGGTTATATTGTGTAATTATTGGATTTTCGTATCGCAACGCAACCATAGTAATTACAAAGAACTATTTGTCTGGACGTCAGGTCGTATACAGTTTGTTTAGTACCGCGTGCTAGGAGTTTGGCTATAAGACTTCCAATTTTGAATATCATCGTGTACCTATATATATCTTATAATATGTACCTACAGGACGATCAATTAAGACATGATCAAATGCTATACAGAATAAGAATCATGGATTTATGATGGTTGATGAACAACGCCAMTTAGATTTTTAAATTTAAAATATTTGGTGTTGATTTTTGGTCTTAACCGAACTCCATACTCATATTTTTCATATTTTTCAACAATGCAAATGCGGTCTTCATGTCCTTATGCACCATACCTACTTGTCCAATGTTTGCCAAGTCGTATAGTTTATTTTGTATCACCTGACCACAAATTTGATGTAGGACTTCCATTTTTCATTTATATATGTAAATATTATAACATGTGCAGGACGACAACATAAAAACATATTACACAAACTATACAAACATATTAAGTTGAAGATATACCATCTATATGATTAAACTAAAGAAAAACTCGACTTGATGTTCTAGTTTTCAAATATTCTGTTGATGTTTGCTTTTTACTGGACACCTTGCACACSTTTTTTGTAGGTTCAAATGTGTACATGGGTCTTCAACACACCTGCATATACTTATGCAATGATTATCAGGTCGTATAGTTTATTTAACATCGCCATGAGCGCAGTTTTATTAGGGTTAATTTTTAAGACGTATCAAACCTATATATTTATTATATTATATTTATTATGTAAAATATGTGCAGGACATCCAATACAGTCATKACCAAACTCTATACGAGTAGAATGTGKATATGTGTGATCCTAAACAACATCGCGACTTCGCAAAATACTATTTAATTGTCTGGGCGTCAGGTCGTATAGTTAATTTAACACCGTCTGATAARAGTTTGGCTAGGACTTATATTACTTATAATTTTGGATATATAAAATTTAATATTATTATATTATTA